GGATTGCTCGTGGATTGTGCCACAAACGATGTCACAACAAGGACAAAACCTGTCCCAGCCTCACTTGGCCGTGATGGGATTTGGGGCTGGAGGGACACAGACACCCAATTCCATGAAAAGAAAGGGAATAAAGAGCTGGAGAGAGCAAAGGGACAGAGGGACACACAAGGGACAGAGGCAGATTCTGTCCAAAGGGGAGAGGGACAGGACAGGAATTCTGATGTGCACCAGAGGTAGGGAAGGATTTTATTCTCCTCTGAGACACAAACTGAGCTGAGATGATCCAAATGGCAGCAGAGCAGAGCCCTGAGGGAATTCTTCCCCATTCCCTGTGGGAATTCCGTTCTCCCATTCCCCCATGGGAATTCCCCCCTGTTCCCTGTGGAGATTCCTTCCTGTTCCCTGTGGGATTCCCTCCCCATTCCTTTCAGGAATTCCTCCCTGTTCTCTGTGGGAATTCCTCCCTGTTCTCTGTGGGAATTCCTCCCTGTTCCTTTTAGGAATTCCTCCCCTTCCCTGCAGGAATTCCTCCCTGTTCCCTGTGGGAATTCCTCCCTGTTCTCTGTGGGAATTCCTCCCCGTTCCCTGCAGGAATTCCTCCCTCTTCTCTGTGGGAATTCCTCTCTATTCCTTGTGGGAATTCCTCCCTGTTCTCTGTGGGAATTCCTCCCTGTTCCCTGTAGGAATTTCTCCCTGTTTCCCATGGGGATTCCTCCCCATTCCTTGTGGGAATTCCTCCCCATTCCTTGTGGGAATTCCTCCCCATTCCCTGCAGGAATTCCTCCCCATTCCCTGCAGGAATTCCTCCCCATTCCCTGCAGGAATTCCTCCCTGTTCCCTGTGGGAATCCCTCCCCATTCCCATGGCAATCCCTCCCCATTCCCACTGGAATCCCTCCCCATTCCCCTGGGATCCCTCTCACCCATCCAGGATGGATTCCCTGCAGCAGTAGAGGTTGTCAAACTTCTGCTTGGTGACGGAGTCGTTGACGTTCATGGCTGGCACACAGAGCTTCCCCGCCTTGGAGAGCTGGTACAGCCTGGCACGGGCACAGAGCCGGGGTTACCCAGGGAATGCAGCCCTGCTCCCAGGGGTTTGGGATGGGAAGGGCCCTAAAGATCAGCCTGGCCATGGCAGGGGCAGTGGAAACCATCCCAGTGTCCAGCCTGGCCTTGGGCACTGCAGGGATCAGGGGCAGCCCCAGCTGCTCTGGGAATCCCTTCCCAAAATCCCAGCCCAGGCTCCCTCTCCAGGGAATTCCCTCCATTCCCAGCTCTCCCAGCCTGGCATTGGATCCATCCCCACCCCGACTCCTCTCCAGGAAGGGNTGGGCACAAACCCCATTGCTGGGCACAAACCCCATTGCTGGGGCACAAACCCCATTATTGGGGCACAAACCCCATTGCTGGGCACAAACCCCATTATTGGGGCACAAACCCCATTGCTGGGGCACAAACCCCAAAAAATTGCAGTAAAGCACCCACTGCAACTGGTGTGAACTGGTGCTGAGAAAAAGTGGGAAAAGAGGAATATTCCCATGGGGAGAGGGTGGGTGAAGGGATAAATCAAGATTAATTCTCTCCTGATCACTGGAATGCCCAGAACATCTGCAGAACCTCAGATTTTAGTAAAATCGATTAAATATAATATTAAAATTATAGAAATACATCTTATCAATATGTGGGCATGCCAATATCCAGATGTTAAAGATATGCAGAATATTTAATGTATTTTTTAAAGCTTTGGCATGTCTGTAATAATAAAGAAATGAAGGAAACTTTCAGTTTTTGGCAAACTCCTGAGGTTTGGGGGGTCCTGCAGGTGCAGAGCAAAGACCTGAGGGTGGAGGAAGCTGTGCTGAGGATTTACACCTGGAATTCCCAGTGGGAAAAGGGGGAAATTGGGAAAAGGGAGCCCCTTACCTCCCCATAGCCACACACCACCACCTGCTTCCCGCCAAACATCATGTCTGTTGTCCTCTTCAGGCTGAGGAAAAAGGGAAAAAAACCCAATTAAAGGTCAGAATTGCAGCCCAGCACTGAGAGCTGCTCCAAGGATGGAGCCACAGCTGGATCCTGCATCCCTGAAATTCCAGGGGAAGAGAAAACCCCAAAAGCACCTAAAAATTCCCTTCTCCTTTTGGAAAGGAGGGGGTTCTTTTGTTCTTCCAACAAAGAGGATGGAATTTGGGTTTGGAGCCCTTTCTTTGTTGATTTTTATTCATTAACCCTTTGTTTTGGCACTTGTAAAATACTGAAAATCCTCTCCAAAAATCCTTTAATCGGAGTTTTTGTTGCCAAGCCCCAAGGAAGAGCCCCAGGAGCAGCAGGGGAGTGGGATCTCCTTGCCAGAATCCCAGAGATTTCCCAAATGCAGCTCCCCCTTCCTCTGCTCCCTCCCTGAGCGTGTCCTACATTCCAGGCTATTTTTGGCTCTGGAGTAAATAGGTTAGCAGTGCAGGGAAGGTGAAATTCCCTCCCTCTTCCAGGGAATTCAGCTGAACCCCATAGCAGCTCTGCGGCACCTCAGCTCTCCTCGGCCCTGACCCCGTCTGAAAT